GGGGGGGGGGGGGGGGGGGGGGGGGGGGGGGCGAGCCAAAAGTAGACCCGAAGGGCCTGACAAAGTTAAAAATTGCTGACAAGGGGAATAAATGTAGAATCCTAATTACTTTTTATATGTGTGTGTGGGGGGGGGGGGCATCTTTTGTAGTTACGCCACTGATTCTAAAGCACTTTTGAGCATACACGCTGTTCGATACGATGTTTTAGTTTTGGGTATATACGACGCAATTTTGATTTGATATAAGTCACAAGTAGGCACATACATTATGTTCAGGAAAAAAAAAAACAAAGTGAAAAACGTGAAATCGGTATTTAACCAATAAACCAGACAATACAGAATAAAGGGGAACTATTGTCGCGCCATCTGGACGTTTTTATGACGAACGAAAGGTGGTCACATAATTAGTACAACGTCAAAGTTTAATTTTTAGTTTTTAGCAGGTAATGAAGTAACAGCTTAATGAATATTGAGGACAATGGGATGAAATAAATGACAAAGTAATTTTCACAAGAAAAACTGTACGGTTCCACGAAAGACGCCTGAATGGGCGTTACACATAACTAGGTCAACTCTTCGTTTAATATTACAACCGTGACAGGCTAAATATTATCGCTTTCTCAGTATTTTGGTTTGTTGGTTAATCACTCAGGTTTGTTCTTAGTATCAATGGTCTCATGAGTGCAAGGTGATTGGCCAAACTTTTAATGCAATAAAACGTCATCGGATTGAATTTTGTTTTTACTGAGATGTACAATCATTGCAAGAATGTATCTTATATATCTTCTGAATAACGGAAGACACAGATCTTGAGCGATCCCCGTTATACCGAATTCTTCCAGTTGGAGAAGCTGCAAAAAATTTATAATAACCAATAAAAACCCCAGTATTCAACTTTCTGCTTTAAGTATCAACGATATGTCTGCTTTACTCGGAGGAACTCACTCAACATCCTTTTTATCAGTCTTCGAAGGATGGTTAAAATTTCGAGTCTCTTTCATTCAACATTACAGATTTCGTTAGTGGTTTTTTTTAATCAAAATGACCACTGATTCTTTATTACATAGTGACGCGATAACGCGTGATCAAAATTTAATTATTCCAATCAACATAATTCCAAAGATCCACATCAAGACAAACGTTTCCAATGTCTCACCAATGGTTTCTTTATGTCACTCTTATATAGTCTGAAACGTGTTCATTGTGCATTATCGACCATGTCATAATGTACATTTTGCCCTGAAATGTTTATCGTTTTAAAGTCAACAATGTGTACTGTTATGATTGAAATACTTTCTTGTACGAGCAGCATCGTTCACGTGCCTGTTGGATGGGAAAACATGCTACCCTTCCCAACATAAAATGTTCGTACCGATCAGTGATATAATTTCGATGTTTCCAACGTATCTATATATACAACTTCCTAATGCAAAATGTCTGCCTCTATCACCAACTTTATTCCACATAACGTTGCTTCTAATAGTGATGTTCGCCATCATTAGAGATTTCATATGTGATACTAGCAACATTCTCTTTGATCGGTTTCGTCCACCTTTACCAGTGATTTAAAACCATTCTACATTACCAATATTTGATA